CCCTCTGACTCAGAACTCCTGCCCCCACCTTCCATTTTTAAGAACCCTTGTGATAAGATTGGCCTATCAGGATGACCCAGATTAATCTTCCTACTTTAAGATCATTTGATAAACCTTAATTCCACATACAACCTTACTTCCTCTTTGCTTTGTAACCTGACATATTCACAGGTTCCAGAACAAGTACATTTGGGGGGATCATTAGTCTGCCTCCTGCAGAACATAAGGCAACCTCACTAGCAATACCAGCAAATACATACTTGCCACCTGCATACTAAATTATACTTTATTTCTCCAGAAATTTGAGTATACTACCATAGTTCATCCAATCTAAACTCTAAAAAACTTTGAATTAAATTATGACACAATTCTAATAAGACACTGATTGCAAAATGAATCCCAATTTCAGGAATGTTAAAAGGTGAACACACATGTGTTTTAAGATTGATATTTTATTAAAACATTTTTTTTTCCTTTTTGTCTTTTTTACTGACCGGTAACGGGATCGCAACCCTCGGTGTCGCGCCCATACCGGGGACCGGCAATGGGATCGCAACCCTCAGTGTTGCGCCCGCACCGCGCTCAGCCAGTGAGCGGGAACCAGTCTCCACATGGGATCCGAATCCTCAGCAGGAGCGCTGCCGCACTCCCAAGGCCCGCACCGCGCTCAGCCAGTGAGCGGGAACCGGTCTCCACATGGGATCCGAATCCTCAGCAGGAGCGCTGCCGCACTCCCAAGGGCGCACTCTCCAGTGCGCCACCAGGCCAGCCCTTATTAAAACATTTAATGGCATTTTTTTCTTCTAGTATCTATATACCTACCTACCAATCTACCAAACCCTCTACTTAAAACTAAAACAACAGGAAAAAGTATGTGATTGAGGAGGTGGTAAAAATGATTTTTACTTTTTACCCGCTAAGTATCTTTTCAAATACAAGCTTAATAAATACTATAATTTATCAACTGAAGCACTTAGTTATAATACACCAAAACAATGAGATAGCCCAACTCATTTAAAATGTACATGACTTTTGACTTTGCAAATGAGCAAAATATCCTACTGTTTTTTAAAGTTAAAATACTGGTAAATAAAAGTTATTCCTGAGTAAATACGTTTATAGTTGCCATTTCCAATATTTTTCGTAACTTCATTCAATAGCACTTTTCTCCCATTCAGCTTTCTCGTTGTGTTTTTATATATTACATGTGTTTTATCTACTATATACGTATAAATATATTGTATATCTATTACATGTGTTTTTTATCTATTATATAAATGTATCATATTATAAATGAAAGCTGACTGTTATTATAGTCACAAGGTTTGAGGCAGAGGCCAGTGCTACCATTTACTAACAGTGATGCTGGGCAAATGTGAACCTTTCTGTAGGTATTCCATGGAATAAGAAGGTGTGATAGAAACTGGTGCATGCTGAGTGTCGATTAACAACTAGCTGCTTTGCAAGTGTCAGAGTTTTATTACATTCTGTGAGGTAGATACCATAGCCTCTGTTTTACAGGTGAGGAACCCAAACATTTAAAGTGTTCAATAATGTGCCACTGTCACATAGGTAATAAATAGCACAGCCCTGATTTAAATCTATATACGTGACTTCAAAAATCCATGATCTGTTTATTCTATTTCAAAGCTTTCTTCATCTGTAAAATAGTAATGATAATTAAAGAGTTCAAAATTTGAGAGAATTCAACAAGATAATGTTTGCAAAAATCACTGTATGAATTACAATCCACAGCCTAAATCTTTGCATTGCTTTAAAAATATAAGACTTCCTCTTAATTTATAGCTCAAGTTAATATAAGACCAAAGCTTTTAACTGCTGTCTTTGCCCTCTCACTATACCTAGGAGAGTAGGGAGAATTCTCCTAAAGTTTTCTTTTAACCCCATAGTATCCAAGCTAATAAATAGCAAATCCACTTCTTTTCCTTTCTCTGTCATCTTTCAATATTTTCATTATAGTATTCAAAGTGAAATGGGCTGACTTCACATTAGCTGTAGATAAAAGAGAAAGGAAGTTATGCACTGGCTAAAGAAAAGCATCTGACAAAAAAAATCTTCCTTTTTATTATATGGGGAGATTTCCAAATGTGTATAAACATTTTATTGATTTAAACTATAAGTCTCCTTTGCTTTGTTATACTAGAGATTGACAGCTATTAAGATGATAGATAAGCTATATATACATGCTTGTTTGATTTTTTTAACAAGTCACAGAGCAGTTTTCAGTACTTTCTTTCTAAAAGTAGAAAGGTTATTAGTGCTGCCCCGTATTATTCTTTTCTTATAAATGAATATATGAGTATCAGGGAAGATTTCTATGCCTTAAGCTACAAATAACAGGAATAAAGGCTTTAAACTCACTTAAATAACAAGAATATATGGGCTTGTACATCAGAAGCCCAATCATTAGATTGGGCTCCAGAGCTGGAGGATGCAGTGTTCAACAATGTTATCCAGGAGAAAGGCAAATTCCCTCTCTCCGTTCTGCAGTGTATGATGTCAGATTCATCCCAAGTCTGGTTTCCTTCATGATTATAGTGATCAGGGTTGCATTCTTACTCACATCCAGTGGATACATATAAGAACAAGCTCTAGCCATCAAAACTGTTCCTTTCTTCAGCTTGATGAGGCAAACATAGGGACAGGTCACATGTCTCAAACAGGGCAATGCCATGTACTGACCCGCTTAGGCCTGAGGTCCTGAAATGGTCCTCTTGCTAGGCCTAGACTAATGATGACCCATCCGTAGGGCATTATCCTTTCCAACATGGCATGGCAGCTGCACAGCGGCACATGCATGGATGATGGGGTGGCAACCACAATGTCTATTTCTCACAAATGCTTTTATAAATCTTATAAATGTATATGACTCTAGACACAGGCATGGTCATTGTGACAAGAAGGGTTTTTGTGGGGACTGGTAGGAAGAGACTACTCTGACTTTGTTGTTATAAGTTTTCATTTTATGTCTCTTAAAGAAATATTTCAGATTTTTACTCTGCTCAAGACTACATAAGGAAAAGACCCTTGTGTGTATTGGGTCTAAGAAAGAGAACTGCCATAAGAATCAGTGGGGAGAACTAGGCTTTAGTGATGCCAGAGGTGACCCTGAGAACCTACACTCTCAGAAATACATAGAGATTGCTGGAAGGGCACTGATTTTCTACTTCATATGCCATAACATTTAAAAATAATTTTTATCAAGATCTTAATGGACAGGACTGATTACACTGCTCTCTTGCCAAACCTTACATACTCCAACTGTTCAAACACACCGAGCTACTTAATTATTCAAATGTGCTTTAAGCTAGAAATAAGTTTTACAGATGATATATATTGCAAATTTGTATGCTATTTTCAATTAGCAGATTTAGTAAGATGTGAAATATAGTCATAAAGCAGAAACTGGTTCTCCTCACATTAGTGCCTGCCTACGTGATGTAAAGAGACAGTTCATGTAGCTGGACGCTGTTTCTCACACATGCTTGAACAAGGCAAGACGTTGATGTCTCCCTAATACAGAAGGCTCTAGGGGGCAACATAGCTGCTGAAGTGGAGGAAAAGGTAATTATTTTGATAGAAGCTTTATTCATAATCAAGATTCTGTGGTTAGGGTGATTAAAACTGTGTATCAAATTTTAATTTCTGGAGATTCTGGCAGGAAGAGAAGAAAACTGCAGGAAGCCGGTAAATAAATCAACATTAGGAAGAACGTCCCTAAATGAATTCAGCTTTTCCTTAGATGTCAGATCTTGTTATGCTCACAGTCCCTCTGGAACCTAATATTCCCTCGATTCCATCATCATCTACCTTTATACTATTTTAACTATTTTGCACTTATTATTTAAAATTTTAATCATATGAAGAGAAGCATGAGAATTTAAGTTAATGGAACTAGTTAGAATTATTTTTTAAATACCTATTACTCTGACTCTACCCTTTTATTTATTGTCCATATTACAAAGAACAAATGACACCTCAAAGACGGTTAAGTTAAAATACTAATTACCCTATAGAAATGAACCCTGGGGCCGGCCCGGTGGTAGCGCTCCCACCGAGGGTTCGGATCCCACATACAGACCGGCCGCTCACTGGCTGAGCGAGGGGCGGGCGCAGCACCAAGGGTTGTGATCCCGTTGCCAGTCCCGGTCTGGTACGGGCGCAACACTGAGGGTTGCAGTCCATTGCCGGACACGAAAAAAGACAAAAAAAAAAAAAAAAGAAATGAACCCTACATTGGTATGCTAAAATCAGGTTATGACTCTCACTATATACCCTATCAATACTACCTCCACCTTTTTACATATAGCTACATGACTTACACACACACATTATTTTGGTATATTTGGATAGGTACATTTTTATTTATATAGATGCATTTATTTTATGAATAAATATATACATGGCCATTCTCTTGAAATTAGAACTGTGGTTTCATGGACTGCATGGCTATATGGTTATGTTTTAGGAATTAAAGATATCCAATACATAATTTGGAAAATTTGCTACTTTATGTACAAAGAATCCTCATGACTCAGGAAAATTAGATGAATTTTCTTTTCACATAGTCTGCAAAGAACTTCAAGCATATAAACCCCCCAAAAACCTGTTATCCTGCAAAATAGTCAATCATAATGGCATTAACACATTTTGTTTTGGGCTATCAATAACAACAGAATTTTATTGAACTTATGTGTGTATCTCTAGGAAAATAAAAAAAGAACTGATGATAGTCTTAAAGCATCATTTGAAAATCATCTCCAATATATAGTTAATTAATTAATCCAATATTAAGCTATTTCATTCATAACTGAAGTGTTGATAAGTGATCAGACATATAGGTGGTAAATAAATATCTCAGACATTCCATAAATATTCCTTTAAAATTAGCATACTCAAATAATTTCCTATATTTAAATGAGCGACATGTTCAAAGTCCCCAAAACTCTCAAAGTGTGAAAATTTTTACATACACTTACCAACAGTATCACATGGTTCATCTTTGTGTACACAGAAATCTTTCCTAGAAAGAAAAATAGAAAATCCAAGTAAAGACAAGTCCTTTTGCACAAACAATAGACATCATGTGATCCACTTTTAATATGATTAATTGAAGTGCACCTCTTATCTCTAAGAATTTAATAAAACTAAGAATAAGATTAATTTTAAATTCTAAGAAAGTAGAAAATTAAATTTTGTTACATTTATGCTTGATATAATCCTGTGACATCATTGTTCCATTTCATAGACAGTATTTCAAAAATAAAATACGATCTTGTTTTGAATTTTACATGATTTCATTATTATATTACAAAAAATAGTAACTGGTGTTGAAACGTGGCTTTCCACTTGAAAAAAATATTGGAATATTTATACTTCTCATAACACAAATATAATTACAAAATTGAAGATTTAAATGTAAGAAGTACAATTTAAAACAACATAACATTTTATAAGATTGGCAAAAGTTTTAAAAGATGGTTAATAATTTTATTAGAGTATGAGGAAATTAGTATTTTTACATATATGGGACCTAACTATGAATAATATTCTATGATTTTTCCTTTTTTTTGACCACTATATCCTGGAGAGCATTCTCTAAGAATACCTCACTCTGGTTACCAATTACTTAGGATTTCATAGAACATAGTTTAGTAGAACTTAATAATTGATGAGTTATGAGGTTTGAAAGCAGACTCTAAAAAAAAGCAAAACATTTCTATCTACATGTTACTAGGTGTATGACCCGAGGTAACTTACTTAACCTTCCTGTGTCCTAGTTACCTCGTCTAAAAAATAGAGGCAATTACATCTACCATATAGATTTATTGTGCATGTGAAATGATTTAACACATATAAAACACTTAAAACATAGGTTTTTTGTATGGGTTGAAAGAGCTAACACATATAAAGCATTTTTAAAAAATGCTGGGCACATAGTAAGATTTCAAAAGTTAGTTGTTAATGTTTTTATTGGATTTTTGTTGTTGTTGCTGCTGCAGTTCTTCTAATAGAAGCAATTTCCTATTGATGTCCATTTAGATTCTACGTAATGTTTACTATTATAAACAATACTGCAATTGGTCTTTTGTTTGTGTGTTAATGAGATATGAAAAACTATATATTTTTTAAAATTTCAGCTCTCTGTTATGGGATCTGAATGTCATTCCTAAATGACAAAATGACTCAAAATTAGGCACAATAATCATTCAAAGACCAATGATATTTGATCTACATTGATAATTGCAATGGTGAGTTTTCAATTCAGTTGGCTCAGCATCAGCATTTGTGATTTAGTAACTATATATAATGTTGTAAATGTTCCTTGCACGGAACATTGAAAGGTATATTCTCTAATTGTCTGGAGTATAGTTCTATGTATGCTCACTAGATGTAGCTATTACAAGTTCTGATATACAGTTATTCAGTAGAATAAGCAATTTTTTATTGACTTTTACATCTGTTAATGGAGGGAAGACTGTTAAAATTCCATTGTGGTTATGAATGTTTTGATGTTTCCTTGTTCTTCTACCAGTTTTTGCTTTATTTCAAAGCTAAGTTATTAAATTTACTTAAACTCTAAATTTTTATAATTTATCTTGAATTATTGTTATTGTATAAAAGCCATACTTATATTCCTTATATTTTCTTTGTTAAAGCCTATAGTGTCTCATATTAACAAATATTAACATATTAGTAAATAGTACAGTCAGGTCTCCGAATCTGTGGGTTTCACATCAATGGATTCAACCAACCACAGATCAGAAATACTTGGGAAGAAAAAAAATTCACCTATACTGAACATGTACGGAATTTTTCTATTGTCATTATTCCTTAAACAATACAACATCTGTTTACATCGCATTTGTATTGTATAAGTGTACTTCAAAAAGTTCATGGAAAGATTCATATTATCTTTTAATTCTATTTTTCCACGAACTTTTTGAAGTACCCTCATATTAGATATAACTGGAGATGATTTAAAGTATTTGGGAGAATGTGTATATGTTATATGCAAATATTACCCCTTTTTATGTCAGGGACTTGAGCATCCAGAGATTTTGGTACCCAAGGGAGATCCTGAAATCGATTCCCCATGGATACTTAGAGATGATTGTACTTTAAAATGTAAAAGTAAGCATACATCACACACAACTTAATGTTACTTTTCAAAGCACTAGCAAAAACAAGAGAGAAAAATCTAGATATATTAAGAATAAAATATAAAAAGATTAAATTAACTTATAAAGATATCGTATAACCAGCTTTTAAAATTTTAACCATATGCTATTTATAAGAGACTCGGAGAAAATGAAAGTTAAAAAATAAAATAAAGGAAAAAGACATGCCAAGTGTATACAGTCTTCCCCAGGTGTTCGTTAGGGACTGGATCCAGGACCTTACTCAGATACCAAAATCTGAGGATGCTCAAGTCCCTGATATAAAATGATGTAGTATTTGTATATAACCCATGCACATCCTCCTGTATACTTTAAATCATCACTAGATTAATTATAATACCTAATACAATGTAAATGCTATGGAAATGGTTGTTATACTACTTTGTTTAGGGAATAATGACAAGAAAAAAATCCGTACATGTTCAGTACAGACCCAAGTACTTTCAATTCACTGTTGGTTCAATCTGCAGATGCAAAACCCACTGACAGGGAGGGCCAATGGTGCAGTGTATCAGTTTCCTATTGCTGCTGTAAAAATTTCATACATTTTGCATCTTAAAACAACAGAAATTTATTATCATAAAGTCTGGAGGTGAGAAGTCTAAAATGGGTCTTACTGGGCTAAAATCAATATGTCAGCAGTATTGTGTTCCCTCTAGAAGCTCTAAGTGAAAATCTGTTTCCTGGCCTTTTCCAGCTTCTAGAGGCTGCCCGGGTTTCCTGACTGAAGGTTGGCTTCCATTTTCAAGGCCAGCAAATGCATCACTGCAAGGCTTGCTTCCATCAACACATCTCTTTCTCTGACTCTCCTGTCTCTCTCTCCCTTATACCACGTGATTACAGTGGGTCTACCCAGATAATTTAGGATAATCTCCCCATCTCAAGATCCTTAACATCACTCCATTGGCAAAGTCCTTTTTGCCATGTAAGATAACATATTCACAGGTTGTGGGGATTAGAGCATGGACATCTTTAGAGGGGCATTATTCTGCCTACCACATACACTTAACATGTCTAAAACTAAAAGTTGTCTCTAGTCTCTTGAAAAAGGGTAGGACATAAAATGCTTTTAATCCAATCTCTCTCTTCAGTCTTTCGTGATTTTTTAATCTGATATTATAGTTCCAACTTGATTTTTTAAATCTCAAATCAGACAGTTTTTTTTAACATCAGTACTTATTTAGCAATTTGCTTATATATTTAGCATTTCATTTTCTCAGTTATATCTTGAATATATTCTAGAGAGCTCATTATTCTTTCTCTTTAAGTAAATCCTTCAGTATCTCCTTCAGTGTGAACCTATGAATAGAAAACTATCGCAGTCTTTTTTTCCTTCATTTTCATTATTTTGCTTTTATTCATAATAGAACAGTAGCTGAGTATAGACTTTTAGGTCATCTTTATTGACTCCCATCACAATGAAGAAATTATTTCATTTTATTCTAGCATTCATAAATATTGGTTAGAAGTCTACAATCACACTTTTTTTTGCTCTTCTTTCGAGCATTCGGTTTCTGCTTAATCTTAATGTTTCTTTTTGCCTTTAGTTCTGCAATCCCACCAAGAGGTGTGTCTAGGTGTGATTTTGTTTTTATCTATCTTTTTGGTACATGGTTGATTTTTCAATTTGAAGATCCATGAACACATAAATATTATTACCATTATCTATTTAACTAATCCCTCTGACATGCTCTTTACCCTCTTCTCCTAGAACTCTTCTAGGAATATGTTGGTTCTCTTCATTCTGATATTTGTAACTCTCAAGCACTATTGTGTTTCCATCTCTCACCAGTCTTATGCAGCCTTCTGGGAGAATCCCTCAGAGCTATCATCAAACCTACTAGTGCTCTCTTCAGCTGCATCTAATCTGCTCTTCAGCTCAGAAACTGAGATTTTTTAACTACCATATTTATTTTCTAGAAGCTTTATTTTTCAAATCAGCTGTTCTGTTTTCCAAAACATTTTATTCTTATATTTTGAATTTTAAATTTGGTTTTAATCATGTAAACATGCTCATTTTATAATCCTTGTCAGTCATTTTTTCAAATCAGCTGTTCTGTTTTCCAAAACATTTTATTCTTATATTTTGAATTTTAAATTTGTTTTTAATCATGTAAACATGCTCATTTTATAATCCTTGTCAGTCATTTTTTTTAAATCATTATTCTTTATTGTGACTCCTGGTTCTCACAATGGAAGACACTGTCATTGTGCACTTTGGAATTCTATTATGAACTCATCCATTGGTACTTTATTTATGGTTGCCTTATGCAGTTTAGATTGAGAGAGTTTCCCTCCAGAGCAGTTCTACATAAGCTTTCACTCTGTGCTTCAATTTTGGAATCCCATTCATGGTAATGAATACCCAGAGGAGCCACTCATTTTCTCAACTGGTGTCATGGTTGAAACATGACTGAGACAACAAGAACGCCTCTTTGTTGACGACCTGTGCTTGCTGCTGGCAGAGCTTTTACCAGATCGCACTTTCACTAAGGGTCTAGGTATCCGAGAGTTCTACTTGTATGTAATCATTTTAGTTCCATTTTCCCACTTTGCACATCCTTGAAGACTTTCCTCCACATGGGAGTTAAAACTCAAGAAGCCAGATTTTTAGGCTAATGAACTCCTCCAGAGAAACTACCACATTACCTCAGAAGCTTACTACATTTGCTGCCAGACTGTCTTTGTTTTGGGCTCATCTGTGCATATATGAAAGGATGCTTTTTTTCCCCTACAATTTATAGATGTCTATAATGGTAACATTTTCTGATTATCTAGTTAGCCAGATTATCACATAACTAAAAGAATTGAACTCAATCTGTGACCTACCATATATAAATTA